CTTGCTCATGGTGTTTTATCACAGCAACAGAAAAGTAACTGAGGCACTGCATATACCTCAGGATTTGCAAGCTTGTGCTGGGTCCCTCAGAGAGCCTATGTTGCTTACAGCCCCTCTTCCCGCTTATGGCCTACTGTGCCCCTCCTCATGTGCTCGTGGTCTTTTGAACTGAGGGAAATGGACTCTGATGGCAAATTCCCCAGTTCCTCTGCCCAGTGGTGAGACAAGGGGGTGAGAGACAGCGATAGGACCAAAGAAAGTGACACCAAGAGCCAGGGGCCACCCCTGTTGAGCACTCCCCTGCAGCTTCATCCCCATGGAGCCCGGCTGTATGTACTTGGGTAAAGCAGGGAGGTGGGGGCCTGTGCACAAACAGGTCTTGGAACTCATTCCTCCTGCATAAACTGGCCTCTAGGACGTCTGCCTGGCAAGCCCCTTTCTCATCATCCCTGTCCCTACAACTCTTTCTCTGTTCTTTCATTCTCTTCTGGAGATTAGGGACCCAGCTGTCCCAGTGAGCGAAACTGACATAGTGGGCTGTGGCTGGAATTTGTATTGTCATGCGCACATTGACTTAATGTATGTGCACGCGCACCCGCATATGCACACAATCTGCCGTTCTAACTTCTTCCCTAGACAGATTTCTCTGTACTTCCTATCTTGAACAACCACCAACTGCCTGAATTTCATGCATTGTTCTAAGTATGTTATCTATGACAGTTACTGGAGTGCCACAATTCTATCATTGGACATTTTAGAGTCGAGGGAAAAAAAAAAAAACCCAAGGCAGAGAAGTGAAGTATGCTCCCTAGCGTCCCACAGCTAGGTAACAGCAGAGGCAGGTTCAAACCTAATCACTCTGACCTCAAAGTCTGGTTTTGCCCACCCCCCCCTTCAAGGCACACAGCACTCTGAAATGTAGAAAGCTTGCAACCCTCAGAAGAGTCCCAACTCCAAAATGTTTGCCCAGCATGGGTCAAAGAACCGAAGTAGGACAGCCACAAGGAATGGGGGCGAGAGCGACCCTTTAGGAAGCTCAGACAGGCTGCAAAGAGCTGCCCAGACAACAGCAGCCTGGCATGTCAGCCAAGACAAAGCGGACTCTGAGCTACGCTGCTCTCCTCTCCCAGTCCACATGGTGACAAGCTCTGCAAATAGCGGCCAGAGGCTCAGGACTAGCGAAGAATCCTCATGTGTGCACAGCTTGGAAAGGACACACACACACACACACACACACACTCAGAGTCTTCTATAGGAGCATTGTCTTTAAATAGAAAAGATAACCTGAAATACACCCTGAGCTTGCAGGGCATTCA